TCTTTTAAATTTTTATTTCTATAATTCATTTTTCTTTTTTTCTGTGACTGGTTTGAACAATTTTTTCATTATTCGCATTGATTATTGCGAATGCGAATATTCGCAACAACACCCTGGCATGTACATTCATGCACGATAAATATTTCTTAGTTCGCTTGATTGGTTCGTTGACTATTGAGTGTAACTGTTGCATGCACAACTACTGTATGACTGTCAGCTATGTTGCAAGTCAAATGCAATTTTGTTTACGTGTAGATATGCTATGCAGTGTCTATTTGATTAAAAGCAAAATTGATGGCGCGTGGAGTGCCAAATGCGAATAAGCAGTGGTATGCATTGGTGATTCTTGTTAGCACTCTTTGCGAAACAATTTTATTACACTTTTGTAATATTTATGGATCACGCAATAATTGCTGCAGCTGTTTAATAAATATCATTTAATTATACAAGGCATTGTTGACCTACAAAATATTTGCATATGTGTATTTACCAAGGCATACAATTTAAAATTCTAAAACACTGAAGATTAACTGCAAATATTTAAATTTATCTATAGCTCTTTACATACATATTTACTATGTACCAACAAGCATTCATGCAACGCAGTAGGAATGTATGTAGCAAATCGTCTGTTCACCACACTACTTTTTTCATCTACGAGTAGCATTGTATATACGCTTATTATTCATCCTATTTTCATTTCAATAGCACACAATGGAAAAACTTAAAAAAAAAAACGAAACTTATCATTTCAATCAAAACAGCATGTTGCATATGGCTTGCTGTTGGCTTCACAATGACTCGCAACTATGTTTTCGTACTGGCAACTAAATACGTACTCGTGCATTCATACTTGAATATACTCGTATGTATATTCAAACATATAGCTGCTGCATTTGTTATTCTAGTTAAGTTTGAGTACACTGAGTAACTTACGCATTTAAAAAATGAATATATAATAATAATAATATATAATAATATTTTGGGACTTTTAAATTTGCTAAATGTTTGGCCGAGCTTCTCCCTCAATTGATGGTATGCGTCCGTACAATTTTCGCCGCCTCTGAGCGGCAAACGCATTTTTATGAGAAGCCATTTCATATGTATATTTAATACACTCGGAGGTTCGCCATTGTGTCTGTCGAGGGGCGATCGCTGTTAGAAAAAACGTTTTTCACACCTGCGGAGCGGTAATACATATGCACTGCTAACCAACCACTTAGCCAAAGCGACCGCTTCTTAACATATTTACACCTTTTAAATTAACAAGTAATTTTTTAGCAAAAACCAAAACCGACTTCAATTCTCATATAAAAATTTAGGAGTACCGTTAATTTTTTCATGATCCAATGATCGGATCTAAACCAGTATGAGACCACCTTTGAGACACTAGCTTTCCGATACAAAAAGAATTATCGAAATCGGTTGACGTGGTCCAAAGTTATGCGGTAACATACATAAAAAAAAAAATNAATAAAATCGATTTACCTACTTGTGTTGGGTAAAAAAATTTCAACATCAGAGACTACAAACATCCAACATAATGGGCAATTATACATGATCATCAAATTGTCCTGAATCTTGAGGCCCGCTATAGGAAATTAATGCAAATCATTGCCAACATAATGCACTGGCTGGTGTATTAGCAGTCGTACGTCTTATCGTATTTTCAACTAAAATAGGAAAACACTACGTTCCACTCCACCATTATTCTTACCAAGTACACTCCTCCGAAATTTTCAAGGCCACAGACTACAATTCACCGACCTTCAATATAAGGAACAAATTTTAATCAAGCATGTCTTCTAGGAATGACCAGGAATTCGATTCGGTATTGGGCCTGCAAGCTAACTCTGTAGCCTTATAGACGAATGGCTAGCAGCTGAAGCGAAAAATATGGTAAGATCTTTCATTCAACCTGTGTATTAGGGTCCAGAGCATGGCAATGTTTTCGAAGCAAGGATCGGAAACATAAAAGACACTGCATTTTACGTTATCGATTGTTCTCCCAAGCTGCCTTTCATTTGTTTATAAAGATAAGATAAAATATTTTTCTCATATCGTTCCTTCCATTCTAAGTATGTAGTTTCATATAAACGGTTTTCGCAAACTATTTTTCGAAATGTATTTCAATTGATATCTAAAATCGTTCTCCATCTAGTATAGCCTCTTAGGGCCGAGGCACACACCTTCCCAGCTGCAAATCGTTCATTGTTGGCACAAAATGCTTGGCCTGGCATGCAACACACCGATATACCCACATACTCACATAAATACATACATATGTATTACCGCCCACGCAAACGATCAAAAAGCAAACAATACGATAATCGAATGAAAACGGGGCAAAAAACCGAGGCATTTTTGCAACACAGCATGCAATCAGCTATGAGAGCGCAACCCACAATGATCAAGCGATCAAGCGATTGAAAGTGCTAGGCGGGTAAATTGCTGCGATGGAATCCCGCTGAAGCGTTAATGCCCTGCACTGACATTTCCATTTGTACACCAACACCACAAACGGTATGTGCGCACACATGTGTACATAAGCGAGCAGTTTGCAACTTTGGGTTAACGAAAACAGCTGCAACGATTAGCGCGGGTGCACGCTGCAAATGGATTGATTATACTTTTGTGGCGTTGAGTCGAAAGTTCACTATATTTGAGCTAGAAGAAAATTACAAAAAAAAAACACAAAATCGTGGGTATTTTTTTCATGTGTGTAAGTAAATATACATACATACATACATTGTATTAATGAAAATGCATAAATATCATTGTACAATTTAATTAACCATACATGTGTCTTTCGAAACTAATTTCGAAAAATTTAAATAGAAAAATTTCTAGCCCACACTAATCATTATTTAATTACAAATATTAATTCGGTTAACTTATCGAAATATTCGATCTTCCTTTTATCTTTATCGGTTAATTTATGCATCGAATCCGTTTTTACTTTAATCAACCAGTTATGATAATTTTACTAAGGCGGCACACTTAGCTGGTAGCATTTTCAAATTAAAAAAATAATTTCTTTTGACTATTTATTTTACCTTGCTGGCGCACCAAATTATTACGCTGGCACTTTATTATTCACGCCAATGACTACGGTGTAGGATGTGATGGAATATGTTTTACCATTTTAAAATTATGTAAAGTTTTACGAGTAGAGTAGAGGGCAGGTTCAAAAATCAGTGACTTTTTGAATACCACGCGGAAATTTCGGAAATTGGGGAAATTAAAAAAGAATTAAGCCACCCTGTGAACACACGTGAGTGCGATTTTCCTGCAACATCGTGAGCACTTACAAAATTGTGCAATTATTGGCCGTATCTGCGTCCGCATAATTGCGCAATTATTGATCAATTTCGTTATTTTTCTGAAAAATTATATTTGTATTATGTAATTATAACACACTGGTGAAAAATGCCTATAAGTTCTTCGAATTCACTGAATTTTCAAAATTTTCGAATAATTTAATTTTCAATTTTTTTTTGTTTTTTTTTCGAATTTATACTATTTGACATGGTTGAAAGTCACAGCAAGTTTCAATTATTTCGAAGGCTTAGAAAATAAAAAAAAATCCAAAATTTTGAATTTTATGAAATTATTAAATTTCTTGAGATTGCTTATTTTTACAATAATTTCCAAAATTTTAAAAACTATCGAAATCTGGGAGATTCCAGAAATTTTGGTAAAATGAGAATATTTTGAAATGTACAAAATTATTAAGATTTTAGAAATTTTTATATTCTCCAAAATTTTGAGAATTTTATTTATTCTGAAATCCATGAAACATCACAAATTGTCGAAAAATTCTTATGTTCATGGTACTTGTGTATAAAACATAAAAAAATTGTTAGAACTCTAAAATATATTAACATTTTTGAAAAATTCCAAAAATTTTCCACTTTTCTGAACATTTATTTTGTGCTTTGTCTACTTTAGTACATACTATTTAAGTATGTTAGGATATTGGAAACCTATGATTTGGCTGAGACTGCAAAATTGGAAAAACGCTGAACTAAATATATCGAGCTAAAATGAGACCATGTTGAGAAAATGCTTCTATGCCGAAAAATATATATTTTATTCCAAAAGCCACCGAATTTTAAATTGCCCTCGTATAAATTTTACCAGCAATTTTAGACAACGATAAGAAACGATGAAGCTAAGTGGATACAAGCGCTTTTTATAAAAAAGTGTTACAATGGGTAGGTTGGCTTCAGTCCTCACGCCCCGCCGACGAGTTACGAAAACATCGGCGCGGCGGTGGCGACGCACAATGGGACTACAGCGGCCAAAAGTAGTAAAAACGGTTTCAGAAAAAGTAATTACGCAGATACATAGTAAAATATTCAACTCTGTCTGGAAGTCTGTCAAAATTACTAAAGTTGAAAAAAGTCTTTCGAATTTTGATTACTCTTACTTTAGGTTGAAAGAACTAATCACCAGATTATCCGACAGGCGACAACTAAAGATAAGTCTATCTATCCTATATTTGCTAGTTGTGACTTCGAAGGTAAAAGGCCTTTATCCCAACTTTAAATTACTAATGTAGCCTTTTGTGAATTTCAGAGAAGATTTTCTTGCTCCTATCCCAACATATTATCAAATCAGTATGGAATAAGGCCAAGTTAGGCCAAAGAGATCCCTAGTGATCACTAAAGGGTAGAGAGCTTAGAAGCCATGGATATTGGAGCAAAATAATATGGGGTTATCAATAACTGAAACTGATGAATTGATTCGATTAGTTAGTCAGCAAAACTACTTCCTATGCAGTTTGTTGTTTTTAATTTCTTCTTTCTTTTGTTTTTTATTGGATTTACCTAATCTAATCTGGTCAAATTAGAGAAAAATAATATTTCTGCGAATTTAATTAAATATTTCCTAACTGACGGCAGCTATAAAATCCAACAAGTTATCGCAACGCAAACAGTTGATATCTAGCAGTAAGTAGTTAGTGAGTAACAAATTTGAATACAAAAAGACTATATCTATATTTTAAAAATTTTCTAAAAATGAGAATAATTGCTTTGATATGTATGCTCTTCGGCGTTTTCGCCTTGTCGTACGCGGCAAGCACCACTTGGGGTGCTCGCACTGACGATAGTGCCGTTATACTTTCGAAAAAACTCCTTCTGGCACCAATAAAAAATAAGCATCAGATTGCTGTATTCGACATACCCGTAGCGGTTAGTTGAAATACTTTATCTACTATATGTATAAACAATATTACAATTTCTTTCTTAATAATTTTTTATTACAGAATTCCAGTAACAGCAAAATAATTACTTCGATTTACTTGCAAGATCAATTCAAAAATAGCTCCGGCCCAATAAATACTTTGCTCTATGGTGGTGTCGGTTTAACGTATGCTTCTCTAGAAGTAAGAACTTTGCGCGGCGCTGGTCTGAATGTTACTTGCATCGTTTATGGCAAATAAATTTGAAAATGTCTTGTAGGCAAACTTTTCTTCTGGATATTTATGTAAATTTTAAATAAACACTTTTGCATGTCTACATATTATAACCAACGAGTTCGTTTCTAAAAGAGAGTCTTTAAAGCTTTCTACGCACGGTGCTGTACAGTTGGAGCGGCCTGACACACCATAGGTTTGGTTAGGTTAGGTTATCTTGGCTGCCCTCATCCCGCATAGGAAAAGGACGCACTCAGACCACCATGGGTTGGGAATGGGAAATGGAATCAATTTCTAGCTCTAATGAAGACGTAGATACTTGCTGAACATATGTAGTTCAGCCAAACATTCGAAATAATAATTGCGCAACAAGCGTCGAAGAGCCCTCGTCAAAGCGGAAGAGTGGCACGCTTTCGATTTCCTCCTCATCACGGCAGCTACGAGAGTAGTCGTTTGACTGCAAACCTATTCTAGCAACATGGGTTCTCATCAGGCAGCTCCCAGTAAAACATCATTTAAGAAAATATGTTCGAGACATTTCTTCTACTTTCGTCATACCTAAATAGCTGGCACCTTCTGATTATTCCCATTTGCTTTGCTGTTCGTTGCCGTAATGATAGGATATAGTTTGAGCTGTATGTACATATTTATGTACTTATGTCTAACCATTCAAGGTGATAAATATCTTGCTGAAGAGCAGACTGGGAATACCGGTAATACTGAAAACAATTTCCAAGGCTTTTGTATCAAACAATTACACATTTTCCAAAAAGAAATTCCATACAAATAACTAAGAGAAGCCATATCAATCGCATACATTATTAACAAAATCTAAACATCTCCTGGCGCTAACCTCTATAAAAAAAAAAAACAAATACTTACATGCATAAACAGTCAAAAGCTAAAGTGAATAAACAGATCATTAATAGTATGTCAAAAGAAGCAATTACATACATACGTATGTACGTAAATATGTATATTAGGGTGCCTCACCAAAGAGGTTGCGGTTTTCCACCGGAATTAGATAATTTATTATATCTGCAGACTTTCGCCAAAATATTTGGCAATTTATTAAGATTTACGTAATCTGGACGGATTTTAAAAAACCATCAAAAACCTAAGTATTCCGTAGATAAACTTTTAAAAAAATTTTACCTTAAGCTTAAACCCTTCAATCAGCTGAGGTGATTCTTGGAAAAAGATTTACAACTAATTTTATTTATTAAAGATTTGAATCGGTCCAGCTTACGTAAAACACTCCCCGAAATATATTGGCGGATGTCTTAAAATATCTTGATTTTTATAATTCCGGGGAAAAACGATAGCAATTTTTTTTTTACAGAAATAAAACAGTGTTAAAATACCTATCTACTGAGATCCCATATGTCTAAATCAGAATAGTTTTGGCCCAGTTATTCAAGTTTTTCGTAAATCAATCTTTGAAAAAAGTAAGAAAAACAGCATCAAAAATCTCATTCTTACAATTCCGTTGAAAATATTTTTAAATATTTGTATATAGATTTTTTAAGCTTAATCTGTTTTGTCATCTGAGGGGAGTTTTTTCAAAAAGTTCTTTACGAAACTATTTTTATTCATAAAAAACTCCATTTTTGGAGGTGTTTTCAAATCGGTCCAGCTCACTTAAATCTTAATATTTTTCCCAAATATTTTGGTGAACGTCTTAAAATATAATAACTTTTGTAATCCCGGCGGAAAAAACGCAACTTTTTTTGGTGATGCAGTCTAATGTACATATGTACATATGTATGTCAGTGTTGGGAAATAAATTATTCCTTCAGTACGAAATCTACACAAAAACTGTACCTTTTGACTGTTAATTGTATCGACTTTTTAATTTTCTCATATATTTCCTTAGTACATTTACACATACATTCCCTTCAAGACCAATGATTTGATTACTTGTTTATGTACATAAAAATAATAGATTTATTATTAGCTAGCCATCGATTTTCTTCATCGTTAGCTTAGTTTTCTTAAAAAAATTTTCTCATTTTTTCTTTAAAAAAACTGTTATTAATATTTAATAACACACAAACTATTTATCAGGCCTATAGAAAAGTGATGTCATTTGCCGCATTACGATTGTTCAATTGCTTCGTAAGATATACGTCATTAACTGGAACTACTAATTTTTTTAAACTGAATAACAGTAAATTTAAAATATCTCGTTAAGTTATCCATAGAGAAAAAAATTAACTTGAGTTTCGGAATCACCGAGCAATTCTACATAGCAAATGGATAGTGGCACCCGGTAAACAAAAAAAAAATAAATTGTGATCCAGTGCTATCGAAGATATAGCTTCAACTGAAGCTTATTTCGACATTTTGTTTTAAGATTTAGTAAAGAAAATATTCCCAGGAATGGGAAGCTGACAGAACAACTTGTGCTATGATATAATAGTTCGTCCAAGACATTTTTAATATTTTATCAAAACTAGCAAAGGCAAATTCGAAAAGGTCAAAACAAAAAGAAAAAAAAAATCTCGCAGTGAATTTTTAATACTCATCACAAAATTATACTAAAAAGTATGCGCAAACCTATATGGTGATCGTGCCTCAACTAGAGCTGCCGACTATACTTACCTATGAAGTGTCATATTGAGGATAAAAAAGTGTGAGAATGTGCCAAATAGAAAAATAAAAATGCCAAAAAAGGTGTAATTCTTTTTAATTCTTCCTATTTAGCATTAAAATTAGAAACACATTCCTCAAACAAAAGTCCAATAACAAAGTAAGATAAACCAGTTGTATACACTATAGTAATTAGAAAATTTTATATTTCACATAAATGTAATGAAATATTACTATTTTTCAAAATTTGCATTTTGCCAAACTGAAAAATTAAGTGCCATTTGAAGTAAAAGAGGGCCAAAAATTACATGCTTTGAGCCAAGTTGGCAGCCCTGGCCACAACACAACACGCAAAAACAAAACAACAGGCATGTGGCGCGCTCGAAATCTTCACATTACAACAACCACAACAGTACCTCTATTCCCCCATCGTACATCAAATGCAGACACTCATTTGTTTTCGCACTACTTATATGTACGAGTATTTGAAAAATCCCTTCACCTCCAACTTCAACTACATATGTATAGTATTAGCTGTCAGTTGCTGCTGCAGCTGTTGCACGCAGTGATGTATTGAAGCATGGCCATGTTGCACGATCAGTTGCGTGATAGTCCACTTTGTTGAAATGACTATATGTGTATCGCACTATAAATATGTAAATTTCTCTTAAGAGAAAACAAAACAGAAGCGAAAAAAATTAAAGTTCACATTTGAGTATTTTATTAATGGTTTCTGCACTAAAATTTTATGTTCACACGATCGTTAATTAAGTGATCGCATGCGGAAGGTGTAAGCGCCTCCTGCCAGTTATTTATGCGTTGCTTGCTATAAATCTACATCAGTACACTTACTCGTACATATGTATGTAATTGCCAGTGGACGTCTTCCAGATGCCCATCGAAGATAAACAAAATATTCAACAGTTTGACTGATTGATTGGTTGATTGATCGTATGCGGTGTTCTACTACTGAACTTGAATGGACTTTGGCTTTTGTGTGCATCTTAAGTGATTATACTACAAACTACATGCGTTTGAAAATATATGGCACATACATACATATAAGCAAAAGGCATGATTTAAAGCATACATATGTAAGCTGTCATTCGCTGCATTGTATGCGCCTTGATAAATGTTTGGCTGAGTTGAACTTTCCAACATGTCAGAGATGATCGGTGATCTTGAAAAGTTCTAGATTATACAAAATGCAGCGTTAAGAATTTTAGGTGCATTGACTGCTTTAATGGAGACTTTATTTACTGCTTGACTGGTGGCGTTCAAGAACAATTTTTTACCAAATTTATTGTTGTTAATTGAGATATAATAAATTAACATTGATACTCTGGCTCAGACAGCCTTTAAGACTTTCTCGGGGCACTGAATTCAACATGTTTAGTATCATTGAGCATAACTATTTGTTTCTTCTAATATTTTGTATTTATATAGGCTAGAATTTATGAAGAGCCTTGCGACGGCTACTAAGTAAAGCTGCTATGTAAAGAAGCATAAAATCGGAAGAGTGTCTCGCTACAATGCGCATCAAAGTCAGATACTTCAACATATTGCTCTTTTTCATCCGTAATCCGACGAAAGGCAAGAAAAATACGTCCACATATCTGTTCTATGGGCGCACTTACATTCGCTGCTACCGTCACTATATCAAAATCGCACCAGGTGATTTTAAATCCCGAGAATACCAGGCAGGGATCTTGGGTCTAACTGTCTAAAAAATTAGCCTCCACGAGGAAGCATCCGATGACGGACTGATCGAATTTTCCGCAGCCCAGAATATCGGCAAATTGCAACCCCAGGTTCCAGCGTAAAACGACTCATCAGCCAGCAATGCTGTCTCCATCACTAAAGACGAGAAATTACCTTGGTTACCGTTTGAGAAAAGAAAGGCGCGATTACAGTGTATTTGTTCCGACGATCACACATTGATTCCAACTACTATCTTGTGGCAGTCAAGATACTGTGCTCAACGTCAAAAAACTGCCAACATACTACGTATATAAGTAGACGAAGAGTGGAGCGAGACATAGTTTTTTTCGAAATAAAAAAATTAGAGGTCAAAATTCGAGAATGCAAATAACTTAAAATTCTAGTCGACAGAAAAGATGGCGTTTTACGGAAATTTCCAAGACTAGGACAAATTCTTGTAAGGACAACCATGGCGAAACAGTGACCCATGTCCAGTGCGTACTTAAAATGTCTACTCTAGGATGGTAGCAGCACTAAAAATTGTGGAGAATATGAACTCGAGCCTCACATCTTAGCTTCTCAAGTACGGCTGATTGGGCGGAATATAGTTCGATGGCGAATACTTTTTCTTTTGCGCCAAAATCTGTGCCACACAAACTTTACTTTAAACGATTTTACAATAAAAATATCATTGTCCTTATGACGTATTAAGTACGTGACAAGGACGAATAAAACAATGCAGAGAGTACGTTACGGCTTTATTTGATAGGCATGTCGTTGCACGCCAAGATTATAGTGCTTTATCTAT